TAACTTCCAATATTATAAACATCTCAGTACCTTTTTCAGTCTTTTGAAAATTAAATTGAATCCTAAACCCAAGTCATTGAAAGAATTTTACATGACAAACTTGGGAGTCTTCAACAGTATCAACTTTACCTTTGCACATTTTACTACATTATTAGCCTCTATTCATTTCCTAAAAGAACAAAGGCCATTTCCTATTCTTTGTTCATCATATCAGGTTCCAAAGGAGCAGTCTAGATGCTATTTTACCCTTCAGCAATTATGTGCAGTGTCTGCTCTCTATTTAAAGTATCAAAATGAAAAACCAACCGATGATATATCCCTTGTTTAGGCATCCACATTTTTCTATGATGACTAATTTAGCCATCCCAGTATTAGCATCCAATTTCTATAACAAAGTCTTAAGTGATTTCTCCAGGGGACACCTCAATAGTTTCAAATTCCAAATTCAAACTTGGAGACCCGCCTCCCACAGGGGCATTTGATTTATGGTATCCAACTAGATTAAAATTATGGTGCTACGATGGCCAAAACCTAAAAGACAACCAAGCATTAGATCAAAGGAAGCATTAAAGTATAGATGAGAAGAGAATACCAAAGCCAGAGATGATGCATAGATCTTAAGATCTGCATGCTTACTTGCAATTCCAGGAAGGATCGCAGCAGAGTTGTGCAAAGGCAATTAAGCTAGGATCAGAAGAGAAGGTGCTGACTAACTGATCAACTGTAACAGAACCCAGTCCACTATGGCCACTGGTACTTTGATCACACACTTTTATATTCGTCAAACCAAATACCTGGAAAAGGACAAGTTGGTATCTAAAATATAATAAGGCATAGTGTAAGGGTCGATTGGTGGTGAAACACAATGTGAAGACTACCTTGTGCATTGCTCGTGATAGCAGTGATTGGCACCCTATAGGATCGTCAACATATGAACAAGCTCCAACCTTTCGTTTGATGTAGATAACACCAGAATTAAATGGGTCATTCTTGTCCCCGGTGCTCCACCAAGGTTTATCTGTCAATTAGTAACAGTGATCATATAAAGCATGTTAAAATAATATTGAATAGCAGAAACTGTGCAGCGGCATAGTCCAACCTTCAGGAACAAGCTCTATTACTTGAGGCCAATACCGAGGGCCGCAAACACGTACACTCTTTAACTGCAACCAGCATATTAAACAATAAATCAGTCCAGAAGCCATTCTGGAGCTTTGTGGCAGGAAAATCACTAATGATCAGAAAGTAGATGATCCTGTATCACTAAACAAAATCTTCGTAAATCTTGATCTATACTATTCTGGTGTGGATCAGTTCAAACAGTCATCAGCAGCAGAAAATTCCATGTCCAGTTCATGAGAGAGAACATTTAATTTATTGCAAAGGACAGGAAAATATTACAAGAATCATAAAGTCATTAGTGAATCTGCTTAACTTACAACAGCACGTTCTGGCAAAATACAAGGGGTAACTTCACAAAAACTTGTTTCTGAATAATGTTCAGTTTCCCTGATAGTAACTTCAACAGGGGCATAGACAGGCAGACCACTGTCAACATCAACAGTCTGAAGCAATCGAGCCTCAGTTGCAAGGACATATAAATGCCTAAATGCCTGAAAAACACACCATAAGATAAATAGATGGTTGGACACAAAAAGAAGCAAGAGATGTAAGCCCCAGGGCTTCCATTTGCATAACCTCTTTGTTTTAAACTAAAACTAGATAGCCATTTTTTTACCAATTGTTAAAGGACCATCTCACCTAAAAGCTTAAGCTGTTAGGTAAGGCCCTATAATATAATTTATATTACTCTCTAACACACCTCCTCAAGTGAAAGCCCCAACATGTGGGCTTGAAACTTGCACAGGTCCACATTGCCTTGTGCTTAATACTTGAGAAATTGGAGGTGGTGAGACTTGAACTCAGGATCTCTTGGTCAACTAAGCTCGATACCATGTTAAAGGACCATCTCACCTAAAAGCTTAAGCTATTAGGTAAAGCCCAATAATATAATTTATATTACTCTCTAACACCAATTAAGTAAAATTGACAAGCTAATTTTCTCCAAAATGCTGATAGAAGAAGCTTTACATTTAGTGCGACAATCCCAAAAACACACTAATCAACCATGACTAGGCAGCATCATTTAAAACCTGCTAAATTTACTATTTGAAGCCAATAAAAACTCTTAGAACAGGTTAACAGGAGGTTTCTGTCCTCCATTATGTTCAGCATAAAAGTTGTTTCTTACAGCATATAATCATGTACCTGAAGGTGGCAACGATTATCATTTGGTCCAGTGGGCAAACGTGGATAGAGAGTTATAAGTAAAGCAGCGATTGAGCTGTTGCTCGTTGAAAATGTCCGCATCCCTCCCCCAAGAAACAAAAAACCAATTGCCAAGCTTACCTAAATGCAATTCAGGAATGAAAATATTAAGTTCACTGATATTCCAGAAAACATCAATTTAATTTTATCACAGAGGAATACTTGGATGGTAAATCATTTATCATAAGCAAGAAGCACGCATGGTGAAATGAATACACAATTTATCTCAAGTCACCAATCTTGACTAATCAGATTATTTTTCCAGCTTATATTGAAACAGAAGTCAAGAGCCTAAAGTATTTTGGAATTCTTACGATAGTTACAAAGCTCATAGATATAATTTGCATCTTTCACTGGGACGTGGTTGAAAATCCATTTACAAAGGCAGGGAGCTAAAACCTATTTTGCAACTTCCATCCAGAGAATTTGGAAAGCTAATTCAAAACACACCACTGAAACCAAAAGCACCAGTGAAGGCAAGCATCTTATCCACCTATAATGCGCCAGATTGTACAACCAGACCATATTTAGCTGGCAAACATGACCTCAACTTTTTGGCATTTTATGGAAGATCATGCTTTTAACCAATAAATAAGTTCAGATAGATCATAATGGAAAAGGCAGAATATGACGGGTCCATAAAGGCCAAAAGAATTTTCAGGAAACTTACAGCCATCTGAATACCATAATTAGCATGACCATCTGCAGCATTGCGACTGCGGAGAAATCTCAATAATCGAAACGTTTTCAGATGTCCAGAACCAGCCATAACCTGCTCTCCAGGAACACATGAAAATCTTAGAATTGCTTTTCCTATATTACCGTGGATAGTGAGAAAATAATATTAACAATCAAATTCCACATACCACGGACAATGAAAGAACAATGAGATGAAGGCATATTTCCAAAGTGCCACGGTCAACATACCGAGACAATCCCTTTGGAAAGGCATTTCCACTTGTAGCAGATACATGCTTGATCTGCAAAATTTCAGAAGCTTTTCTATCAACATACTAATAAATGTTAGTCCAGCACCATCACAAATGGCGAATGTAAGACCTCATTTAGGAAGTAAACAGCATATTCATAGAGTAATTCCTGAGCATTCCCATCCTTTGTGCCAGCAAATCTTAAACCTGATTAACAACAATAATGGTCAGAATTTTAAAAAGAAAAAACAATACAATTTGGGGGGGGGGGGTGTGGGGTGGGTGGGGGGTTTTGGGGTGGGGAATACAAACTTTGATTTCAATTATACATGCCAAAATAGAAAGAAGCAGTAAAGAAACTAATCATGACAGGCATTCAATTATGTCTTTGTCCATGCACATACTGAAAGCAACAAAAAAAAAAAGTTGTATGTGCACCCATAATTTCAATTTTTTTCTCTTATGATAACTTTGAGCTCCCAGAACTCATTGCCCAACTCCCCCTAATTGATGATAGAAAATTATACACATGAATCCAGTGTCTTCAAGACAATTTTCCGTTTGTCAAGTTGCTCAACAAAATATAAGTATAAAAGAACAATTTAGACTGAAGGAAGTTAGCACAAGACAACCTTATGACAATATCATAATATGGAACAGTACTTAAAACTAAATCATCAATCTATTAGAGTCCACAATTTAGACTGAAGGAAGTTAGCACAAGACAACCTTATGACAATATGGACCAGTACTTAAACTAAATTATCTAACCATTAGAGTCCACAGTCATTGAGTGCCACTTAAGATCTACTGCTAACTGTCACAACATTTCTTCAAGGTTTACCATTTAACAAAGAATGTTTACAACAGTTTTGCCACCAGTTAAGTCATAAAATCCAACTTCATTTTTCATTTTATGTAAAGAATGGGCATTTTGCACAAATAAAAAGTCACCACAGAAAGTTCCTGGTTGATTGATACTAGCTTTTCAACAGGTCTAGGCTACTACTTAGATGCTTGAACAAGCTCTATTGATTCCCTATGCAAGTTCTGTACATTCATATTGGCAATCATTTCTAAAGCAATGGTCGAATTGACTCATAAAACTGCATGCACCATAGGTGTTGGTGAGCTCTGGATGGATGAATTTTTGATCTGGAGATAATGATTTCCTTTAAAATTGGGGGGAGAGGATTACTATTGCCTTGGCTAGCCAAATCAAAGACTTTAACTGTTCTTTGAAAGTGTGGTTTTAATGGTTTTGTCTGTCACGTCTCGGACATGAAATTACTAAATTTAACACATTTATTTGTGCATCTACACTGTCATTTTATGCTCACTAATTTCGAATTCGTCAATTTCATAAAATAAAACCACATGCAAGTCCATACATACCTTGGTCACCAGAAAGGCCAGATCACACAAGATATGACAATCATTACAGGAAATGAACCTTAGTAGAATCCAAATTCTAATCAATCAATCAACAATTACTTACCAAGAGAAATACATGCTCCAGCCACAATATTGACATATGCCTGGACAAAGGTTTCAGCATCCATTTCATCCATGTCATTAACGTGATCTTCAAGGCCATTGACACCACTTCGGACAATGTTAGGAATCTGGGACTGAATCCAATCATTGGAGGGATGCACCCTGAATAAATGGTTCATGAGCTTTGAATCAGAGTCTTTCTCATATAGAGCTTAAGCTTAACTGGACTAATTTACTTGACTAGCACTACCTGCTCCACATTATCAGATTCCGAGCTATGACACGAAGCATTATGAAGTCAGGTCTCACATATTGCAAATCAAAATGGGTCTGCGGAATAGAAAGCCTTGATACAACTGCCTCTGACTCAGTCTGTAAGACAAGGAGAATAAAAAAAACTTTATAGTTGATACAGCAATTTGCAGGAATCGCTTATTGAGAATCCTGTAATCATTATTAGTCATTTAAAAATACCTTCAAAAACATCAATGCAAGAGCAATGATAGCTCCGGGTGCAGTAACATCAACATTCACTGCAGTTCCATCCATCATCTGTGCACATCAGAGTAACAGTAAGAACAATCAACTAGGGAAAAAGAAAAACGAATTGTTATGTTTGACAGACAAGGTTAAGATTCTGGAAACAATTTTTGTGTCAGAGGCGGTGGAGATGACCTGCCCAGCACCATGGTTTTGTTCCTCCATTGATGTTGTCAAGAAAAGGGGTCTTTCCTGATTAAGAATAAAAAAGAAAAGAGAGAATGAAAGTAAAAACTAAAACTCAATCAAGCATTCCAAAAGTTAATAGCTCAAGATGTTTGATTTTAGTTACACCAAATTTACAACACCATAATAGGGATCTGTAAAAGCAGTAAAATCCTCAAGAGAAAATTAACAACCCTACATTATGCATCTCCTTGCCGCCAATGTATTGCAACAATCGATCGACCAAGCTGTTCAAGAAACCAAGTGCATCTTCACCACGCCCTTCAGTTAGCATTAACATAGTTATTCAAATGAAGTTCAGATTCTCAATATTTGATCAATCAAAATATTAAACTATCCCTACCCAAAGCAACAAGACCCAAAGAAAATCCAGCAGAAACAGCATATCCCTCTCTTTCAAGTACATTGTCGCCTCCACTTCGACGGCCTATTTCTCCCTGCAGAAGTAATTTATATAAGAATAACTGCAAAGACATTAAGTGCACATGTCGTGTGTCTGTGTGTGTGATCGCACGCAAGCAAGAGTATCATAGGTCAGTTAAGAAAACACTGCATAACACTCCACATTGTAGCTGAATAGGGCATTAACAAGAATGCTTTGCATTCACAAGAAGAAGGTTTGATGGCTGTATCATTCATTGTTTCGCAATCCAAAGCAATCAGTTAGTACCACAACTTCAATAGACTACATTATTATAAACATTATTAAAATCGAACAACCCACTCAATCCAACCGCAGCCCAATCCACCTCCCCAATTATTTGAGAGAAAGGGTAAGTCGATCAGTAGATTTGCAATACCCAATTGATCAAGTCATCAACAATTTTAAATCTGAAACACCTGCCCTGTCCAACCCAAAACACCAATAAAAATTGAATCTTTAAGCATCCCTAACAATACAGGCTCCTTTTTCTATATAATTCCAATTCCCACATCCTAAATAGGAACCTAATTTCCACAACCCTAAGATCTCATCTGTCATCTTCTTAGTTCTTTCACCATCTCGATTTCTCTCTCAATCACCATATCTCTCGATTAATCTCCTCATCTTTGAGGATCTCTTGGTTCTCACATCATGAGAGTACAAAGCTCTTATTTTCTGCCTCAACTTGGTGGGTTTTCTCCTCTCTTGACTTCTAGTGACATTTTAATGATATGCCATTAACAAAAATTTGTTTTCTATTGTTTTCTTCATAACATGCATGTGGTTTGTATTGGAAAAAATGAGTTGAACTGGATAGGGGGAATCAGTGGCTGGTTTTAATGGTGTTAGTTTTGAACTTCAATTGTTGAATATTTTCTTTCAATAGTTAAAATGGGTAAGAGAAATTTGAAACTGGAGGTGCTTGTTTCTTCATTCTGTTAAGTGCTAATGGTGTCCATTTGTAACAGGTTGTTCAGTTAGGATGAGGGTCGTGGTTGTGCATAGCATTTGATGATGGAGGACAAGCGAAAAGACTCGTGATTTAAGCATTACAAGTAATCCAAAGTGAGCTTGTTTGGGATTGTGAAATAGGAGACCTAAAAATTTGCAGTTGGCAGTTTAACATTGCCAAGAACAAGTATGCAGATATCCATCCAACCTGCCAACTGCAAATCAGATCTTGTTTAACCTGGCCCTACCAATTTAGGACCTTTGGATACTCATTTCTCAAATTTTCGTTACCACGGGCTTCGGCAGGTAAAAAATACAAGGTCAAAACCAATCAGCCCTACTCAAGATAATATGTTTGGAACAAGCACAGGTCAAAAGGAAGAGATCTAGTTATACTACTACTGCCAGACCTGAGGGAGTGAAATGAAAAATAGTCGGTTTTCTGCTATCACTAATTAAAAATGCATCCAACGAAATTATTCTCAAGTTTCAATAATGTGAAAAATAATGATATTTGTTGATCACATTAAACAATACATTAAAATTGAATCTACTACCACGGCAACAAGTAAAAAAATTACCAAAAGAATTTGCATTGTTGGCGGGTGAACTGATCCTTCATAGAGAAGCCCAGCTGAAACTAGTGCTGCTGACTGGAAAACAACAGAAAATAATGTGAGGTCAAATCAATAATCGTACTGCCAAATAAGCTCGTGACTATTTTCTTTCCCTTTCAAATTAGCAAAGCAATCGATCATTCAGGAACCAATTTAGCAACAAATGCAACCATGAAGAGAGTCAACTGCAATATGATGAAGAAACTGAAATGCATTAACTACAGTAAGGAACTCCACAAAATAGGCTTATACAAATTTAGAACAGCGTCTGGTACGGGCTTTAACAAAACAGTGTTGATGTGAAGAATTATTTTTGTATATGCTAATGAACACATCTATGGATGCATCAATGCGTGCCTTTAAGTTTTGGCAAACAGTTAAACTTTGCCTTTCTCATACGAGAAACAAATATATTCATTTCCAAATAAAGAGAAATATCACAGGCAATGTTTAATGATATAATTCACGTGAGATAGAGATAAATACCTGCACAAGGGTTGGTAACTCCAAATCTGGAAATGAAGAAGAATGCCGAGAAGGTATGTGAAAATACAGAGACTGTCACATAAAGTGCAATTGGTTTAGTTTTATGAATTAGACTAGTGAGTCAGTGACTAAGCGATATAGAGAAGAAGAATGGTAAAGCAATTCTTAAACTCATGTTCCATCCTCACAAGAAAAGGTTGCAGCTGTTAAAAAATGTTTAAGTAGTTGGAGCCCCTAGTTGGTATTTGCAAAGGTCACTAAAACATAGGACAAAAAAGATGCATGTTAAATGTTAAGACACAAATTGGCATCCAATGCAGAAAACCATAGCAGACTAGTTTATTGATTCTCATAATTACAGAATTGTAAAGAACTTTCAAGAAAAAAATTCATCAATCAAAAGAAATTGTATCTTAAAAGTAGGAGGCATCCTTACAAAACAGAAGGTTAGGAAGACTTTAGCAACCAAAACTTCAATCGAGGAAGAAGAAGAGAATATTGTAGCAGAATATTACGTTTACATATGGTTTTTCACGATAAAGAAAAAAAAAGGTTTACATATATTTTTACCTTTGATATTGCTGGATGCATTGTTTTCCTGTAAGAAGCTGCCAGGCCAAGCATTAATCCTACCGTCGTACTTTCATGCTCCTGTTGATATGAAGAATGAAGAAGCAAAACCAGAAAATAAAAGGACAAACACAAACAAAAAATAAGTAAATAAAAATGATTGTAGATGATGCTAAAGCTACCCAATAATAAGACATAGTAACTGAAATCTAGACCCTTTGGTAGATTTGAACAATGAAATGACCAACTTCATTCCATGCTGAAATTGTACAAGGAATATGATTTTAAACATACAAGCTATCTCACTCTCAAAACTCTCTAAGACAAAGTTCAAACTGATACAATTATTCATTTTTCTGTCAACATAATAATTACAAATTATGAACACACCAAATTACAAACAAAAATTGAACAAAAGGGGGTCAAACCTGAGTGAAATAAGTGTATATGTCGCTAATCACTAAAACACGCAGGTATCCATGCAATCCTAATGCAAGGAGAAGTCCAGCATGAATAGCATTTGGTTCCTCAGGTTTGTTATATATTATCCATGTCCTTGACACCTTTCCCTGCATGTGAGAGGGAAAGATGCTTCAAAATCAGCTAAAAAAAATGACTTTCAAGGTAAAATAGTATATAACAGAAGTAATACATAAAACAGCAGAAAAATAAAAGGAACAGAAAAGTTGGATCAGGCAAATCAATAATAAAGAGTAATAAATATATGCCTACGTTTACTAAGCAAGTGCATGTCACATTAAGCAAAATCATTAATTACACGTTAATGTCATCAAAAAGTAAATAAGAATTCCATAATGCAGAAAAGCTTTGGTAACAAATGGATAAAAGCAACTGATGACCTGAAGATTCAAACCAGGGGAAGAAAAGCATAAGCTCAAGGATATAAAGATAAACCTGAAGGGGAGCCAGCCTGAGTCCAGCAGCAACAGCATTGTGAAACTCAGACCAAGATTTAAGTTCTTGTATATTCCTCATATTTGGGTCTAGATTAACCTATCAAAAGACAGAATACGCGAGACAGAAAAACAGTAAAGAAAGAGAAGTTCAGAAGTAAAATGATAAGGAGACAAAGCTTTGACTACTGATTATTTAGTATGTTAAAAGTTCTTTAGTCCAGATTCATCGTAAGAAATGGAACTTCACAGCCGTTAAAAATGTTAAGTCCAAGAACAAAGCAGATGACATATAACCAAAAGAACAGAAACATGTAGACAATAGAACTTCATAAGTTTATTACTATATACAATAAAAACATACAGTTGCATTTTGTTGAGCTGGCAAGCGACCTTGTAAAACAAGCTTTGGGACTGTGAAAGCCTACAAATAGAGACAGAGAGATTCAATATGAAACTGAACTGCATCATTAAAATCAATTTAATTACAAGAAAGGCCCAAGAAAATAAATAGCAATAGATAAGGAATACCTCTGTTAAGAGAGTAGATATGGTTGCAAGGGTAAATGCCCCACGGCCAAGAGGAAGAGCAGTGGTCCTTTGTGCCAGGTGCCACAGTTGAGCCTTTACAAGCAAAAGGGAGACAAGAAAGACACAATAAGATAACGATCAACCAGTTAAAGCCACATGAGATCTGAACCATAAGTAAAATAGGAACGAAGTAATCATAAAAGGTTGTGTGGCACTTTTAAGGTCTCTCATCCTCAACACTAAAAACCTCAATCTGTGTATCATTAGTGACCCTAACTTCGAAAAATTTCCAAGTGTCGTGTGAAAAATTTCCAAATGCAGCACAACATGTTGAATCATCTAACAACATAGTTTCTTGTAGTAGCATTTAGCATTTCAATCTACATAAGGAGATTAATAACTTCTACAACACATAGAAATGAATCATTTACAGCTTTCAAATAGATAGCAAGAGAGGTACCTGCTGTATATCCTGGTCAGAGGCGCTAGGGTTAACAGATGTTTGGATAGCCACAGGTCTAGTGGAGCACAAGAGGCGTCTAACCTGGTTGTAGTGAAAATAGCCAGTAAAGAAACACAGAAGAGTACAGATTTTTTTTCATAATGCAACAATTACGTGAGTGAAATTTGAGAAAACCAGTTTAAAACCTAGTGAAGTGATGGAACACTTCTTTTTAGCAGCAATGAAGACTTATAAGATATACAAAAAATGCATCAGGAAGCATTTCAAACCTTACTGTGAACATTAAATCACAAATTACCTCCCTGCAGTTATTTAAACAGTTCAGTATTGATGGGTGAGCTCAAGGGCAAAAGCAGACCTCATTCAATCGCAGATCTCGACCATACTGCAATTGAGTGCTGGAGTTGAAGATATGTTCCATACCATCCATCATAGACCCATCGGCAGAATCTGAATCTTCAAACTTGGCACTTTCCAGCCCAGTTGCATCAGAAACTGTAGAAGGAATTGTCACTGGATGCAAATGTAGCATGTAAGGGGTAGACATGGAGATCAAATTCACATTAGGTTGGGTTTCAAGATCCCCAGATTTGCAGGGCCGAGCTGAACGAGACAACGCCAGATCTTCTCTACCAAGAAGAACATATGCAGCTGCAGACCAGTCGGTTGGAGGGGATTCTCGGCACTTGTCTAGGGCCTGAAAGTTGCAGAAAATCATTACTGTGGATAAAAGTAGGGCCATACCTTTTCCCAACAATTATTTCATAGACAACTAGACACACTTTTTCAACTTTTCAATACCTCACTAGATTCACTCAGTCAATATGAAACAATATGAACTGTTATTTCAAAAGATATTACAATGATTTACAAAGTTCACTAGATCTATTTGCATGCAGAGTTTCCCATACACTGCAAAGTACTACAAACCAACTTACATGTCGCAGAGGAAGGGATACGCCAGAAGGCAGTAAGTCAAGCTGCTGCAGTCCAAATCTTTCCCCAACCATTGCCAAAACCGTGAGCTCCTCACTAGTGCAACATGATCCCACAGCAATATTACAGTAAACACCAGATGATAGCTTCTTGCCTGTTCGTTTACCACCACATAATAAAGTGTAGAAGGAAACTATCTTTCTTGCCCAGCTCACAACAGAGTTTCCATCTTTACAAATTAAAGATGGAAGATCATTCATAATAACAGAACTACAACCATGGTGCAAACAGTTTTCAAGCCATCTGAATAAACTAGGAGGATTTTTCTGGGAGAAAGGCATCTCACATATCCCAATTTTCGAAAACAGACCAGGAAAATCACGAATATAATAATCCAAATAATTTCCCTCGCCAAGAAACTTGGCAATATTGCATAGAAGAACTGCCAGGAGCTCCAAGTCCCTACAAGCAAAAGTTTTAGGCATAAGATGTCAAAGAACACCAGTTTTGAAATAATATGCTTAAATATTCTCAGAGATAACATTTGCAATTGCATATATTGATCAGCGAAAAAAATGCTCATTTTACAATTGCAGAATCAAGAATGAGCTAATGCGCCTGTCTCATAAGTCAAAAATCCTGAACCATGTGCTTTCAAAGTGGAAAACTTTTTTGAGTTATTTACATCAAACAAATAAAATGAAAGGGTTGACCTTAGATAACTTTTGCAATTTATTCTTCAGCAAGTCATTTAGCTTAGAAAAACTACACCGGCCAGTATCCATTTGAAATTTATTCTAATAGACTACAGAATTTTTGCAACCATAGTTTAAATGAGGACTAGACTTACCGTTTGCGAAGTTTATCCAGTTTCAGACTTTCATATAACGTATGTAGACAATCCAAGCTCTCCAGTAACAGCTCAAAGTAAAATGACTTTTCTGAACTTCTATTACCTTCCATAATTGATCCAAAGGAATCCAAATTTTCCACGTCAAATGACAGTTCTTGTGAAGAAGCCCTAGAAATAAAATTAAGTTTTCGGTAGTTCTTGTGAAATTTGCTGTTAACAAGAAACTCCCAGGACGAATGCTGCTCTAAATTCAAATGCTTCTGAGAAATGGCACTAGGCTTGCCACACATTTGAAGTATGATATTACAAAATGAGTCCCATTCCGAATCAACACTAGAATCAGCCCTAGACAAATAGTCAGAGTTACTACCTCCCCAGAGAAGAACAAGGAAATGGTTATAGAAGTCAGAACTGAGGCCCTCAGCCATTGCTGTTATGCAATCATTAACTAATGAAGATGAAGGGCTTCTTCGTAATGTGCATCGAAACATCTGAAAACAAACAATCAAGACCATAATATAATTAACAGAGCAACTGTGATTGACAGAATTATAGAAGGTATTGAAAGACTCTGGTGAATAGCAAGAACGAACTAACAGGTCAACTAATTAACTAATCTGCATGATTAAAAACTATTACTGCATGATAGATCTTGTTGTAAAATTCAATTAACAAATACAATCACACTAGCAAATTTGTGAAAGCATGAACATGCTATTAACAATATGAAGCTACAACCAACTCCACTAAACTAATCCCAAACTAATTGTGGGCTGAACTTCATTAATCATTTTCCTCCATTCTAACTGGGGCTGTATGAAACTATATTGTACATTCTGAAACAATAATGCAGAACAAAATATGCAGCGTAAAGGTAAGCTGGGTATTAAGGAAGAGAAGAAACAAGAAATCAAGAAAGTTGCAGAGCAACAAAACTAAACAACAAACATGAAAGTGGATGATCATACAAAAAGAAATGGTGACAGTAACAAGAGTAATTGTGATAAATGTACTACTTTTATCTCAAAAAAGAACTTTCTATATACATATTAACAAACCTGCCCATTATTTAGTATTAGATTGACACGCCCCTCCACAGCATCAGTCAACCCTAAAATCTTTGAGTCGTGTGGAACAGATGCGGTCTCTGAGAATTCCAAATTATCCGAAAGATGGTCTTTACCGAAAAAGAAGGCAACAAATACTTACACAATAATTGCTTCCCTGACTGCAACATACCCTATGTGTTAGTATTAAACATGTAACCAGATCGTATGGAGAAAAGAACATGAATTAATTTGCAAAACACTCGTTACCATTCCAAAGAACAAAATTATCAATAACTGATAGACAACAAATAGTATACTTCACAGAGCAAGCACTACACCGAAATGTCTCATGTAGAAAACTAAATTTGCTTTCCATTGCTAAGAACATCGAGATTAATAAAAAACATTTATGTGAAAAAAAAAAAAAAAAAAAAAAAAAAAAACCTTATTTAGTAAAAGGAATTATTTATCTCCTGTGAAAACATGAGCACTGAAAAACACGCATGCAAGTTGGACATGTAATGAGTAGAGCTACTAGAATAAAGAATAGATTTAATTCCAACCAGTTGAAATTGGCTATCAGTCTTCAAAACAAACTTCAGAGCTATATAATCATCAAGAGAAAGTGAGTCAAACATCTGGTTGGGCATGCTACTAGGTCCCTTTTTTTACTAGAAAATGCCTATCATCACCCCTGTCCCCCCCCCCCCAGCTCCTGATGGACATATATTGCAAGAAGAGAAAGATAGGCAAACAAGCGAACATGCACGCACATAGAGAGGGGAGAGAGAGAGATGAAAATGGGGATGATGATCCAAATAACAATTAGTTCTGATTTAGAGTGACGTGACTTTTTGGCATAATATAAAAAATAAATAAGAACTTAAATGGATAAGGGTACATAGCAGTAGTGAATAATTATCGGCATAAATATTAGCACAGAAATCCCAGAAATAAAAGGGAAAAGATATCACCTTGTGCCAGACACAACAAAATTACAGATAGAAACCATCCAAACAGACAAAAAATACTAACATGCCGAGGTATAGAAAAACAAATAAAAGCTAAACAGATTATTGTGATGTTAAAATTAATACAAGCTACCAGGGCATGCAGCTTACAAAAAGAAGAAGTGTGTTGTCAGGAGCCAAAACAACAATGTCTGTATAAGGCAGAAGTCCTACTTTCACTCTGCAAAAGAAAGGGAAGCTAAAAGTGGACAAGGGCAATTTCATAAGAAAAATGAAGACCTGGTCAGGATACAACATATTAAGATAGAAAAGAAAAGGCGACTCTACCTCAGGCGTGTAACACTCACAGGTGCAGCTGCAATTGCAGCAACACTCCAACTCCTATCAGGTTCAATATCAAAGAGAATCTCATTATTAATTTCAAGACTTTGAAGCCTTACAGACAGCAACTTCTTCTGTTCTTGAAGAAGAAAACAAATAACAGGAGCTGCATCATCGTCAGTCGCTAGAAAAACCTGTTTCAAGAAAAAGAAACAAATTGTACAAGCACCGTATATCATAAATTCCCAGAAGGAAAATAGTTTAAGAGAGATCAAACTCCATTTCATGAAATGCAGATCAGATGCTCCAAGAAAATATGGTGTTCCAACTGATGACAAAAAATTGGAGATAAACTCTATTTGGAATAGCAACTCCAACCATGGTGAGCAAAATATCTTTAGCTGAACTTTGACTTTCGAAGAAAGAAAGAGCAAAGGTAAAAAAATGAGATTGAAGAGAATAATCATGATTTTATATGGGTTTTATTTCTAATCATTAGAATGAAGGTACAGACTAAGTTCCAGAACCATAAGGCGCCAAGAAATGATAGAAGGCACCTTACTAGCAGCTGTCTGGGCCCCCTTCCCCTGCCATATTCTACGAAAGGAGAACTGTTTATCTAATACACCATCAAGAACTACACCGCTTAAACTAGCATTTTCTGATTCAAAGTTAGAATTTATGATTTCAGCAACCCACAGTGAATGCTGCATCTTCCCTGCATATAAATAAAGTAAACAGGTCATACATGATAACTTGGAAGAGAGATAAAGAAAACAAGACATGGAATCATCCACTCAAAGGCAATATGATAAACCTTTATTATATGATGCCATTAGAGGAATTCGGTTGCTAGTCCAAATTGTTCTTTCATCAAAATCCTTCATTATGGTCAACTTTCCTCTTTCTTCAACATACATCAACTGTGAAAGATCAAAGCAATATAGTCTATTATCATGGGAGAATCCAAAAATAAGAAGTGCCTGAGTACATAACTTCAAAATTCAGAAGGCCAGCAAAATATTTTTTCTTTCATTTCGCAAAAGCAAATATACATACATGCGGCTCTTCCAACAGGTCCTTCAAAATAAGATGTGAGGACATTATAACCGAGTCTCCTTTGATCATTTGATCAAATGTCCCCAAAACCCCAAAGTTGTGATGTGGGCTATGCACAATCTCTCGTCTAGCATGGGACATATCACGTGCACCAAATAAAGGGCTTGAGGATGAGAAGGGATTTTGCATCAGTGAATTATTGCCTTCAGTGGCTGACTGGAGTAGTAAACCAAATGGAAGAGGCCATATGGATGTGATGGTGCAAGGGAGAGGGATGGATATTGCTTCACCTGTATGTGTGTGTTTAAAAGTGAGAGAATGAGAGAGAGAGAATGCCAGCTAAGTTCAGAAAATGAATAAAAGCTCAACCCATATAATGAAATGTCTAAGCTAAAAAGAATCCAAGTTCCTGATGGAAACAGACAAGAATAAGCTGAGCAGTATATTATGATAGAAATATATAGATCCCTCTCTAGAAGATATGTGACACAGTATTCATAGGCAGTGGCTCCAAAATTGCCATGTCAGCATACAGAAGCAAAACAGATGCCCCACCAACCAGCACAAGGTGACACAAAAATGTCAAAGATTATGTATATCCTAACTCACAGATGCTACTTTCCTTCTCTTCACAATATGCTGCATTGTTTTTGTAATTGAAACAACTGGAGTGATTGCATGTTGATTGTTTTGCCACACTAGGACACCAAAGAATTAGATGGTATGCGTCAAGTTCTGCAATCGTATGCTAGACAGGAATGACGATTTTGGAAAAAAAATAAAATGTTTGTTGAAAGAAATAACGTATTGCATTATCACTTAACAAAATCTCTCAGCCTGCTTACCTGATATGTTATATATTGTTAAAGAATCAACATGCAATATACAAAGCAGAGCTTCAGAAAGATCACCCAGACGACACCAGCATGCCTATAGCATAGATGAAGAAGTAGTAGACAGAGATCAAATGCTGTAAATGGTTATTGCAGCAAAAATAATCTGACAGAAGCGAAATGTAGGATAACTTCATACCATGATAACTGGGGAGGGCAAGGTGAATCTCTTGAAAACTCTTGCACCAGTGGACCATATAATCCTATTGAGTCAAAAAGAGAGAAAAATATGAGATTCTATAAACATTAATAGCACTAAAGACAGGCAGTTGATGATATTCAAGAAAAACTATGAAATTTACTTTAATTAGACGGCACAACATTACTGTAAACAAAATCAATTTACAGCTAATTAGAATCAACAGAATTAGACATCAAACTTCAATTATATAAGCAAACACTTAAAAATCAAGAAATTAGGAGTTATCAAATTAAACAAATTCACAATTAACCTACAATTTACGCTAATCTCATTTCAAAAAAAGAAAAATTACACACAAAAAAACAGTATCAGTATAATGTACTTGTTTCCTCTAATGAAGAGCTCGTGGTCGCTGCGATCGCTAAGCTCGGAGCCGGATGTATCGGGTTCATCGATCTCGTTGCGGTCTCGGGCGACTTCGGGGTCGAAGAGGAAATAATCGTACTTATCAGGGACATCGTCTGGAGGTTTACCGTCCAGAGCTTCGGCAATCAAACCAAATGGCTTGAACTCGCCAAGTACTGTAAGCTCACGAACCCTAATGGCCATATAGTGAGTCGAGTTGTGACTGAGTTAGTTGAGCCAGCGAGGGGAATTTGGACTATGAAATGTCTCTTCTCTCACTCCCGCTCTTTTTTGTGTTTTTGAGTAACTGGTGCGGTTGTGCTTAAAGCCTTAAAGGCTTAAACCCTAGCGATCCAGTAATGATAACCGCATCCCACATAACCGAGCCGAACTCTCATGGCCCGATCCAACAGGGTCAAATAGGTTGATTATATACATTAGGACTTGACTTCTCCTTTACTAGGCCTAAGCTGTGATTTGGTCCTCCTCAAATATATATCCTGTTTTTTTTTAATTAATATTTGGATAGGTATTAAGTCAAAAAATGAAAAAAAATATATTTATACATGAAAGCATGGAGAAAGAAGGAAAAAAACATATTTGATGGCTAAATGGTTTCATCGTGTATTGGTAAATTCAATCATAACCAAAACTTGGAAAAACATATTTTGTATATTAATCAAGTTTTCTTTATTACTTCAAAAACTAATTATTTTCCAATACGATGAAAGATTAAAATAAAAGAGTATTAATTGGTTGCCAATACATTATAAATTAATTGGGTTTACAGTATTTCATGTAATAGACAAGTACACATTTGTTTGAACTTTTATATTTAAAATGCATGAAGAAGTTAGGTGATTTTAATTTTTTAATGTCATTTATTTTTTTGTTGACTTGGACTTGAATTTTTAGAATGTTATTAGATATGGTTGAGATGAAGCTCATGCAATTAGTGAGGAAAGTACCCAATCCATCCATTATAGTGAGAGAATGAATAATATGGGTGAACAGTATTCTATTTAGATTGAAAAGGTTAAATCGAACCAGAACTCAAAATTAAAAGAAAAAAAAACTAATTGTTTATTGTTTTTCGATTCAGTTCAGTTTTATGAATTTTTTGTTTTATTTAAATTGAAATCGATTTTTTGATTATGTGTGTGTTTATATATTAAAAGAAACAATAAAAACAAGTCATATGTCATAACCTAAAAAGATAACATAAACAAAATAACAGGAACAAGAGCAACACATGTACAAGCGACCATCACTACACTGACCTGCCCTTTTGGCTTTTCTATACCTTTTTTCATCCTCACCCATTTACTTTCCTCCCACAAACCACGGTCCCACTCCCAATGCCTCCCATCGAGGCATTTATCTGTTTCAAAGTTCGAACCTTTTGATGTTTTCCATTTTCTCTTTCATGGTTCACTTGCGCATCTTCCCTTCCAACGATTAGGCAACCACCACTCCGCCAGCCACTAACCATCGATCACTTTTTTTCATTTCCATTCAAGGTAAGATTAGAAATTTGAAATCAAAATTTGATATGGGTTTAAACGTAATGACTCGAACGGTTATTAAATAGAATAAACATATATTAAAGGTGTGAGAAAAATTAATTCATGGACATGGAATAGTTATTATAAGGTTGCTATAATATTTGGTGTGCTTAGGATTATTTTTCGATCCTGAGTAAACATTTTATCTGACTCTCTGCCTAAATAGTGACTTTTTATGCAAAATAATTATTTTGAGCATTTTAAATGTGCATGAAAAATGTTATGTTTACATAGAATATTTGTTAGAGAATTGCTAGATTATTTGATGTCATTTGATGAATTTTCTAAGATTCGGTGATTATTTTATTTAAACTTTACGAGTGCATAAATATTGTTTTTTAGACAAACTAATTATTTTAAGTGCTTTAAAGGTGCATGAAAATTATCCAAGTAGACATAGAAAAATCGGTTAGGATGAGTAAAAATATTTCCGAAACTTAAATGAATTTTTCTATGCATAAGGAATATTTTCTATAGAAATAAGTGTATTTTTACATAAAGTAATTAATTTGAGAGCTTAAATAATGCATAAAAATTATGTGAATAATGAATAAATTATTATAGGAGGTGTTTGAATTTATTATGAAAAGAAATTAATTTTTGAAAAGGTGCGTAATAAAGTTTGCACATTAGAGATCTAATTGCATAGAATTAGGGACTCAATTGCATAAAAATTAAAAATTTTAACTTTCAAATTAAATTAAATTAGCTATGAACTTTAGGAAGTAGAAAGTTGTTAGAAAACCTTTAAAGGAAGAGTCTAAAGTAATTAATTGAATAGTTAGAGGACTTATGAAAGAGTAATCGAAGGAAATATTAATAAATCAAGGGATTAAAATTAAACAAATTTTGGGAGAGATTTTCTCCTCTTATTGCCACCATTTTCACTTAATTATTTGGGTGTAGTTAATGCATGTACAAATGGAGGGTTAAGTATTAAAGAGGATGGTTAGATGGAAAGATAAAAATTAAAGAAAGAACGAATGGTTAGAGATTAACACAAATGAATGGATGAGATTAAAAGAAGAATTTAAGGGCCAAGACCAAACCAAATGAAGTATGGAGATGGAGTCAACCAAGGAAAAAGTCTAACTAATTCTACCTATAAATAAGGGTGGTAGAGAAATGGAAAATGATTGGAAAATTGAAAAAATTAGGAGAAACTCTTACAAAATTCCCATAAAATTTCCACTCACACTTTCATTTGAACACTTTTAACTACCCTAAAACACCTAATCAAGCTTAGAATTCAAGTTAAAACATCAATAATTATAATGAGAAAATCGAAAGATTAGGCCGAAACTTGGAGGACAAAAAAGAGAAGGAGAAATTCTAAGATAATTCAACTTTTCAAGGTTTAATTGGAGTTCGTCTAGGTAAGTTAATATCACTTACACCACAAGAAAGTATTATTGAATATTAATTATGATTTTAGACCCTTAATTGACGTTTAATTGAATTAATTTTGAAAATTAGGGTTAGGGTTCTTAATGAAAAAAATTTAGAGAAAATCATTTTAATTTAGAAATTCATGCAATCAAAGTTAGAACATGTTGATTAAGAATTAAATTAGGTGTTATTTAAGTATGAATGGATGATTGGGTATGAAAAATTATGTAAAAATTGAAGTTTTCACCTAGTCACGTTAAGATCGCACCATGCCCAAATTATAGGAAAATTAGGGTTTCAATGCTTTGAGTTTCTAATGATTTTATTGGTACATTTCAAGTTAGTATAATGTAAAAGGATGAATTAGTATGAGAAATTTCATTAAAATTGAAAAATTAGGCTAGGTTACCCTAGGTAGGGTTTCGCCCATTAAGCCTAATTTAGGTTTTTTACATGTTATTAGCTTATGAATGCTTGATTGGTTAAACCCTTGATATTAAAATGTAATTGAATGAATTAGCATGAAAATTAGCATTGAAATTGAAAAAAAAATTACCTAGCTTGGGTTAATGACATACTCGGCCATGTGGAAAAAGATTTGTGTTTATGGTTTGAATTATGCAATATGATTGTGGTTGAGTTTAAATAATGCCAATGATATGTATAATGTTGATTGTTATGTTATGCAAGGTGTGAACTAGGTGATTGCATATGCAATGCCTTGTATTTAGTAATGTTGCCAATGTATGGTTTTGTGATGTTTAAGTTAATTGTTCCATGGTTTAGAATGGATTAGAATGGCAATACAAGGTAGGAATGTCAAAATGCAATTATAGTATTGAGATATGCATCTCATTTATGGCATTTCATTTAGTATGTAAGACATAATGCATTGACATTAAATGCATTGACATGCCAATTCATGGAAATAATTTAAAATCATCAAAAGATTTTCTTTGTGATTTTCCAAGAGCATTTGCAAAATATTTTACAGTTCATGTGATATTTCATGACTTTTATGATTTACATGGTACATGGATTTCATGAGTTTTACGAGTCGAGCGGGTGTAGACATATACCTTCGAATGCTCGACAAGTTCGAACGAGTACAAGTAGTGCCTTCAAATGCTCGACATCGAATGAGTATCGATAGGTGCCTTCGGATGCTTGGTAATGGTCAAGTGGGTACGGACATATGCCTTTAGATACTCGACTGGACGTGTCTAAGCATGAAAAAGGATTTCATAATGGCAATGAGAAAGATTTTCGAAAAGACATGGAAAATGATTTTCATATGCATTTAACGTGCATATATTCATATCATGCATAGATTAGCTTATTAAGTAATCACTCATCAATTTCTTATGGTGTAGAAATTTCAAGTAAAGATGATAATGGTTACGCTTAAATTGACTACCAAGGGCTCCACGCCTTGAGTGTATCTCGGTTGCGGCTATAAAGTAAACCTTCTCTAGACTATAATTATTTTAGTGCTCGACATTTTGGTATATTTTTTGGGTATGACTTCTTTCCTTTACATGATAATCAAAGCTATGAAGAAATGAGTAGCTAGTTAAAAAGAAAATGAATATACTAAATAAGTCATTTTGTAGTAGGTGACATATAACTCGGTATATATAAATTAAAGACAATCTTTATATTAATAGAAATATCGATAGTAAAATAGTAGTAACGTAGCCATAGTTAATGTAGCTTCCTTTAAGTTATTTTCTTACATGTTAGTATTAATAATATAATAATAAAGCAAAAAAGATAAGAAATCAATTATAATAAATGGTAATTAATGAGAATAAAGGAAAATAAATATCGAATAACGGGTAAAAATTAAATAAATTTATATAGACTAATAGAAAAAGAATTTGAGAAAATTGAGCGTCATAGATCCAGTCCATTCAGTCCAAGCAATTAAAATAAAATATAAAAGTACAAAAAAATTTTAGTTCCTTTTATGCTGATATTTAAGACTTGTCCGTCACGAGTTTGGCTTCCGTAACTAGAATATACCTAGTAATGACATAGGAAAGGCATGGTGCCTTGTTAGCTTGCATTCATTGCACTTCGAATGTAAGTCAACAACGAGTAATGTTCTCGACCTACTAGGTCCTATGTTGGAGATGTTACGGACATGGTATCGGAGCGCAGCTTACCGATGTATTAAGGAAGGTGCATACAAGATACACATGCAACGACCTTCGATAGTCAATAAGTATGTTTGATGATTGATTGTTATGATTGCTTAGGGTATGTATGTGATAAATATGAATAGCATGATAATTTGTTGTGAGAAATTATTATGCTTCAATGTCATGTATATAGATTGTTATAAATAAATATGATACGAATGACTTAATTTATGTTTTTTGTGTACGTAAATTAAGAGAGAAGGAAATAATGTCACCAAAAAAGGTGAATAATAACGTTAGTAATGATACGAGTTTGAGTTGAACGCCGATGGATTAGGAAGGTGAGCTAATGGAGCTCCTTAGAAGGTGACAAGAACTTATGGAATTATAGCAAGAAAGGCATGAAAAGAAATTATATAAGATTTTAGATTCTAATCGACATGGATCAATCGAAGCACGACCACCACAAATGGCTGAAATAATAGAGCATTTTTAAAGGTTTAATCCGAAGGAATTCAAGGGTGATATGATTCCTAATATTTTAAAGGAATGGATTGAGTCCATGGAAGTCATTTTTTAGCATTTGGCTTTAACGGATATAGATTGTTTAGCATGTGCGACCTTTATATTAGTTGGTGACACTCGAAATTGGTATGAGATAATAAAAGCATCTCTTAATGTGACAAGACTTACATGGAATCGATTTAAAAGTTATTTAATGAAAATATTTCTTGAATATCATAAGGTATCGGAAGATTCAAGAGTTCCTCTAATCGATACAATAAGATATAAAGGTGACGGAATATATCCAGTAAATTTAAGCATAGTCGTCACTATGCCACCTTTATTACTAAAAATGAGAAAATGAAGACGGAGCACTTCTTTCATAGATTAAAGGTCGAAGCTAGGAGTTTTGTTCATATGTTAACAAATACTTATAAGGATATAGTGAAAAAGGCACTTAGCATTAAGATTGATCAAAAGAAGTGGAACCGAGGATCGTCTACTAGTACCAAAAAAGAATGAAATGCTCCGAGTAAGTTCGAAAGACAATTCAATAGGAAGAGGTTGTTCACTCAAAAATGGCATAGAGATAATAAGAAAGGAAAAGCACCTGCAAGCCCATCGAGCATGGGACAATAAGGTGCATTAAAATGTCTTAAATGTGGTCGTTTGCACATAAGAGAATGTTTAATGAGCATGAACATATGTTGTTTCTACCAAAAAAGGGCATTTGGCTAAAATTATCCGAAGAGGAAATCGATCGAAGGACATTAGGTTCCCGAATGGGTATTTATGAGGACACGAAGAGGTGAACAAAGAGGATGGTAATGTTATATGCGATAATGTCTCCATCTCTAATCTTACCGCATATGCATTAATATGTTCGAGTG